GGGTACCTTGAACATGTGTCTACAGAATAGCAGTCACATATTTGGCATATACCACTTCCATATGACTCATTTGGGGGACTTTAATGGCTATTTTCAACAAAAAAGGGCCAAAAGTGCTGTACCCGTTCCATGTTCTATCTAAAGAATGGCCCCTTCCATCCATGGAACACGTGTTCCATTGCGGGTTACCTGAGGTCACATTGCACGTGAGTCGTGCGTTATGACCCACACATTCAATTTTATGTGCCTAAGACCTTCAAAATGTATCAAATCTCATCATTGATAGTATTTGCATACCTGTAATAAGATTAGTAAAGCTTTCATGCTTGTTCTTGCATCTTTTTTCTCAATTACATAGCTACTATATAATTCATTATATTTCAGTCCATACCATGGTATGGATGAAATATATTGTGTTCCCTCATGTTTCTCCTTCTCCTTCTCCTTCTCCTCCTCCTTCTCCTTCTCCTCCTGCCAAACAGTCAAAGGGATTCAACTCCGCCATCATTCAGCCAAATGACCTGAAATTTGGCATGGAGGTAGAGTGGGCAAATACCCCCAGACGTTTTTTTCATTTTTTTTAAAACATGCCTTTGAAAAATTTTTATGAAGGTTTTTTGGGGCATTTTTCGACAAAAAATGGATTTTTGGATCCTGAGCCCTGGTATTACAACCAAATGATATGACATTCGGTATAATGGTACCTTGAACATGTGTCTACAGAATAGCAGTCATGTATTTGGCATACACCACTTCCAAATGACTCATTTGGGGGACTTTAATGGCTATTTTAAGCAAAAAAAAGGGCCAAAAGTGCTGTACCCGTTCCATGTTCTATCTAAAGAATGGCCGGTTCCATCCATGGAACATGTGTTCTATTGTGGGTTACCTGAGGTCACATTGCACCTAAGTGGTGCGTAATGACCCACACATTCAATTTTATGTGCCTAAGACCTTCAAAATGTATCAAATCTCATCATTGTTAGTTTTTGCATACCTGTTATAAGATTAGTAACGCTTTCGAGATTCAAAGTACTTGTTGTTGCATCTTTGTTCTCATGTAGCTACTATTTAATTCATTTATTTGAGAACCTTTGCCAGTTTTGCACTGGGGTAAGTTTGGAATAGTCCACTTTTGCGTGGGAGGGAGATGGACTGAAATATGCTGTATTTGCTCCCAAGCAAATGTCGGCCTTTCTAGTTTATTTGAGAATCTTTGCCAGTTCTACACTGGGGTAAGTTTGGAATAGTCCACTTTCGCGTGGGAGGGAGATGGACTGAAATATGCTGTATTTGCTCCCAAGCAAATGTCGGCCTCTCTAGTTTATATATATGTCCTATTTCTGTACAGAAAATGGAAAAGGCAATGTTGTGCTTTCTTTCTGTAGAGTGAAATGTACTACAGCAGGTATAAAGCTGTATGTGATGTTTGAAATGGTCCTCAAGAATCAGCAAAACAAAAAAGTCTACTCAGTCTAATTATTACTCAAGTTGCATGTAGTCAAGTCCCAGATACAAATGTAGTAATTCAAGGTTAAGCAGGGGGTTAAAAATCAATTATTATCTTGAACTTGGTATAACTAAACTGTATAGATAGATTTAAACAGTAGAGATTGATAAAAGTCCAGTGTCCAGCAGGTATGGCCTTGACAGTGGGGCAGGATTTCTTTCAAGGTTCCGATGGTCTCTGCAAAAGATATTAATATTAATACGAGGATTATATTACATACTCTCAATGGACCTATTTCATTATTACGTCACAGTTTGTTTACTGCATTGTATGCCGGTCAATGAACATTATATTGTACAGGGGTGCGTAGCACGGTGTGTGTTTGTGTAGCGTTAATGGGCGGGGTCCTAATTCCGACCTAATTTCCATGAAAATGCACATACCAATTGGTAATAGTTTATCTGACCAAAAACCCGCGCAGCAATTGCTATAATATTGACAGATAAAGATCACAACGATTAAAGCTGCACAGCTATTTCACTTCAGTGTTATAAGTGCCTAGCACCGAAGCGTAATCATGGTTCACAAACTTACGGCCCTTACAGAAGTTCAGGCAGATATAAGTTTTTAGTGTTAAGTGTGAAAATTTGGGCAGGTACTATTAAATGTAGTTTGAAGGAACTTTCGAGCGAATAATGGGTGTTACTCTTAAGTTTTGTTTTGCTCAATTTTCCCGCCAAAAAAGTTGGGACCCTCACCTTGTTAATTAATTGGATTAAAGTTTTCCCACCAAAAAACTTAGTATATGGAGCACTCTAACCTTGAACTTGTGCCCCCTCCCCACACTTAACTTCTTCCACAACTCGCACAGTATGTCAGTTACCTGTTCCAACACTAAATTGGACATGTAACTTTTCCAAACACGTAGTCACCACACTCTGCTACCCAAACACTAGTACTGACAGTTGATCGAGCGCAGTTTTTCCACCACAACGACTAAGAATATATCCCTCGCTCTTCTCTGGTGTGTCAATGCCACTGGTATACTGATGTTTCGAAGCATCAATGTCTCGTGAAAAGACATCCCCAGGGAGTACACTTAGTGCATTGACTAACCAGGAGAGCGAGAGATTATTTCTAAGTCGTCGTGGTGGAAAAACTGCGCTCGATCAACTGAGTGTTTGGGTAGCAGAGTGTGGTGACTACATGTCAAATTAGTGTTGGAACAGGTAACTGACATATTGTGCGAGTTGTGGAAGGAGTTAAGTGTGGGGAGGGGGGCGGCACAAGTTCAAGGTTAGAGTGCTCCATATACAAGTTTTTTGGCGGGAAAACTTTAATCTAATTAATTAACCAGGTGAGGGTGCCAAGTAGTTTTTTTTGGCGGGAAATTTGATCAACAACGTTTTTGGCAGGAAACTTTCAATCAATTACATGTACACATGTCTAGCAAATTTTAAGTGTAAAAAAGGTTCAAGTGACAATTTTTGGGCAATTTGGCATATTTAACTACATGAAACAAAGAATTTTTCAGTGATGCTTACTTAGGTTACAATCAAAGTTGCCAGCTACGATTGAAGTTAAAGGGCTTAAAAGCTCACAAAAAAAGCATGCAGACCCTCAGAGTAGAGTGAACTGGGCAAAATGAAGAAACGTGCGTGTGCATCTGTTAATGTATGTCAAGGGTGTTGTTTCGTGTTAATAATAAAGAAACCATACTCACACCTCCCCATCTTCTTTCACACAGCTCTGCCGGGCATAAAAGTTTGGTTCTTCCTTCCGCTCAGACCAGGCTTCGGGTCAACATCTTGAAAACGGGAGCAAACAAATTTCATTAGAAAACAGCAATTGGCCTTGCAGGAATTATGTCACAACATACATGAAGTCAGATTATATAAACCACATAAACAACTTTAGTCCCAACATCAAAACCCCTATTTTGCTTAAATTAAATTCAATTGTCGAAGGAAAACAATATTGTTGCAATCCAATCAAGGGCAATGTCAAAAAACAAAATGATGTCGGCTGTTTCAAGCACTGTAAGTTGCTTTTCATGCCGATCGAGGTACAAGTGGACACTACGACAATGAAAGTAAAGGAAGGGGACAAAACAAACAACAACAGGAAATGTCTTTAAGCCAAAGTGCTTTAAGTGGCTTCACATCAAGGCCCGCTGTACGGTTAAGTGCCAGTCGAGGTCTGACGTCACATTAGGCTGGCTAATGGCAGAGTAGCTGCAGGGTTGCCCGTGACAACGCCAGCCGGACCCCGCCCTCCTCCTCCCGCACTGTGTCACGGTACATCCGTTCAGGAGTGACATCATCTGTGACATCAGGGGATGGTGTGCACTTCACAGGATAAACCTTCATGTTTCCAATCTGAACGTTTTTGATCAGTGGACACCGATATCTGCCTACTTTGTCTCATACCTATACCCTTTATCTATACATATATAGGACTGGTGTATCATTGATTGTATGACAGAAAACATGCGACGTATAAGGGTAGTGGATATAGTCATAATACGTTTGACATGTAAGATGTCGAACGTCAGAACCCATGAAAACCAGATCACATTGCTTCCTACAGACACTGAATGCACATGTGCACAGTGTAGTTGCTTTGGTAATTAGCGTAATACATGTTTAGCCATCTATGTAAGCCCATGGGAAAGAAAATGCTGTTATTTTGCAGTAAGAAACAGCGTTAACTTTGCTTACTTTATGCCTTTGATTTCTCTTTGACATGAATGTACGATTCGTTCTCTCTCTCTCTATATATATATATATATATAT